TTCAACTTCGTCTTTGGGCTTTCTTAAGCATATTCTTATAAGCAATTTAGATTTCATCCAATATTAGTTATTTAATTATTATTCAATTATTAATTATTATTAATTAATTAATATTAATTCAATATTATTTTATAATACCATATTATTAATTCAGTAACATCATTCCATTGGCTTTACTTGCTATCTCTTTTTCTTGCTATTTGTTCGTCTATTCATCTTTTCCTTTTCCATTGGCTTTATTTTCGGTCTCTTCCTCTTGCTATTTGTTCGTCTATTATTCTCTTTCTTTTCCATTGGCTTTACTTTCTATCTCTTCTTCTTGCTATTTGTTCGTCTTTCTATCTCTTCTCTTCCCATTGGCTTTACTTTCTTTCTCTTTCCCTTACTATTTGTTCGTTTATCTATCTCTTATTCTTCCATTGGCTTTACTTTCTATCTCTTCCTTTTGCTATTTATTCGTCTATCTATCTCTTCTTCTTCCATTGGCTTTACTTTCTATCTCTTCCTGTTGCTATTTATTCGTCTGTCTATCTCCTCTCTTTGTATAGGTTTCCCTTTCTATCTCCTATCATTGTATAGGTTTTACTTTCTATCTCCTCGATTGCAATTGGTGTCCAATGCAATCGCTTCTTCTTGATATTTGTTCGTCTATTCATCTCTTCCTTTTCTATTGGCTTTACTTTCTATCTCTTCTTCCTGCTATTTGTTCGTCTTTCTATCTCCTCTCTTTCAATTGGCTCCACTTTCTATATCTCTCTCTCTCTCTTGCTATTAGTTCGTCTATCCATCTCTTCTCTTTGCATAGGTTTTACTTTCTATCTCCTCTCTCTCTCTCTTGCTATTAGTTCGTCTATCCATCTCTTCTCTTTGCATAGGTTTTACTTTCTATCTCCTCTCTTTCAATTGGCTCCACTTTCTATATCTCTCTCTCTCTTGCTATTAGTTCGTCTATCCATCTCTTCTCTTTGCATAGGTTTTACTTTCTATCTCCTCTCTCTCTCTCTTGCTATTAGTTCGTCTATCCATCTCTTCTCTTTGCATAGGTTTTACTTTCTATCTCCTCTCTTGCTATTGGTGTCCAATGCAATCGCTTCTTCTTGCTATTTGTTCGTGTATCTATCTCTTCTTCTTCCATTGGCTTTACTTTCTATCTCTTCCTCTTGCTATTTGTTCGTCTGTCTATCTCTTCTCTTTGCATAGGTTTTACTTTCTATCTCCTCTCTTGCTATTGGTGTCCAATGCAATCGCTTCTTCTTGCTATTTGTTCGTCTATTCATCTCTTCCTTTTCTATTGGCTTTACTTTCTATCTCTTCTTCCTGCTATTTGTTTGTCTTTCTATCTCCTCTCTTTCAATTGGCTCCACTTTCTATATCTCTCTCTCTCTTGCTATTAGTTCGTCTATCCATCTCTTCTCTTTGCATAGGTTTTACTCGGCTTTACTTGGCTTTCGAATTTTTTCTATTTTGTATCACGGGTGTGATACATTCGAATTTTTTCTATTTTGTATCACGGGTGTGATACATTCGAATTTTTCTATTTTGTATCACGGGTGTGATACATTCGAATTTTTCTATTTTGTATCACGGGTGTGATACATTTAATTTTTTTCTATTTTGTATCACGGGTGTGATACATTCGAATTTTTCTATTTTGTATCACGGGTGTGATACATTCGAATTTTTTCTATTTTGTATCACGGGTGTGATACATTTGAATTTTTTCTATTTTGTATCACGGGTGTGATACATTTGAATTTTTTCTATTTGTATCACGGGTGTGATACATTGAATTTTTTCTATTTTGTATCACGGGTGTGATACATTCGAATTTTTCCTATTTTGTATCACGGGTGTGATACATTCGAATTTTTTCTATTTTGTATCACGGGTGTGATACATTCGAATTTTTTCTATTTTGTATCACGGGTGTGATACATTTAAATTTTCTATTTTGTATCACGGGTGATACATTTGAATTTTTTCTATTTGTATCACGGGTGTGATACATTGAATTTTTTCTATTTTGTATCACGGGTGTGATACATTTGAATTTTTTCTATTTTGTATCACGGGTGTGATACATTGAATTTTTTCTATTTTGTATCACGGGTGTGATACATTTGAATTTTTTCTATTTTGTATCACGGGTGTGATACATTTGAATTTTTTCTATTTGTATCACGGGTGTGATACATTGAATTTTTTCTATTTTGTATCACGGGTGTGATACATTCGAATTTTTCCTATTTTGTATCACGGGTGTGATACATTCGAATTTTTTCTATTTTGTATCACGGGTGTGATACATTCGAATTTTTTCTATTTTGTATCACGGGTGTGATACATTTAAATTTTTTCTATTTTGTATCACGGGTGTGATACATTTGAATTTTTTCTATTTGTATCACGGGTGTGATACATTGAATTTTTTCTATTTTGTATCACGGGTGTGATACATTTGAATTTTTTCTATTTTGTATCACGGGTGTGATACATTGAATTTTTTCTATTTTGTATCACGGGTGTGATACATTTGAATTTTTTCTATTTTGTTTTGCTTTTCTTTCGATTCATCTTTGTAAACACCCAACACCTACTTTGCAATCAACCTCACGCTTTCTAACTAACAATTTACTCTATGGTTGTAGTCATACTACTTTATTTTCTCCGTACCCATCCATGCGTCTTAACCTCACGCTTTCTAACTAACAATTTACTCTATGGTTGTAGTCATACTACTTTATTTTCTCCGTACCCATCCATGCGTCTTAACCTCACGCTTTCTAACTAACAATTTACTCTATGATTGTAGTCATACTATTTCATTTTCTCCGTACCCATCCATGCGTCTTAACCTCACGCTTTCTAACTAACAATTTACTCTATGATTGTAGTCATACTATTTCATTTTCTCCGTACCCATCCATGCTTCTTAACCTCACGCTCTCTAACTGACAATTTACTCTATGATTGTAGTCATACTATTTCATTTTCTCCGTACCCATCCATGCTTCTTAACCTCACGCTTTCTAACTGACAATTTACTCTATGGTTGTAGTCATACTATTTCATTTTCTCCGTACCCATCTATGGTTCTTAACCTACCGGTCTGCAGCACACACGATTATATTACAGATAGGTCGATATATTGTTGCATATTTCAACCAAACATTGCCATTCCACACAATTAATGTCCGCGGCTTCCGATCTTTCAGGCCAGTTTTCTCGGAAACTACCGGGTTGTGGCAGGCCAGAATAAAAATGGCCCGCATAATTTCTCACGCCGTTTCCAAAAAACTGGTTTTCCGGTCATTATCGATTTGACACTTCATGAAGTTCCCTTGTTAGTAACAAAAAACACGTGATCATTCTACTGCATTTATTTGAAGGATTTTTTTATAATTTATATAAATAGTGAGTAATTTTTCCCCCACTTTCGTTTCTGAGTGGCTCAGAAGTAGAGGTTTCATTACTAAGGTATGAGTGGTAAAGTTTGGCAGTAATCGAGATTCTATAATTTGAATGAGATCATTTATAATAAAATTTTCAAATCTGGTCAATAGACCTCGACTAGTAAGTGACACAAATATTAAATTTAGTGGCCAATTCCCGTTACGAACCAGTCCAATCGTCGGCTAATCGTGTAAATTGGTTTAAATTTGGCGCCATCGTTTTCGTCGGTTTTTGGCCGCAATCAGGGTAATAAATAAAATTTTTCATTCCTGACCTTTGGCACAACAATACTGAATGACCTCAGAGGTGTCTCAGAACTTTCCAGTCTATCGGCCCATTGATATAAACTTAATTCTGGATGGCGACTAAGAAAAATCGTTATGAGAGCTCGGACTTGACCTCCATTAGGAACCATTTTGAAAAACAACTAATTTTCAATTAACTTTAATTTACAGGGCTATTCAGCTATTTTCGCCGATCTGTTTTGCAATTTTCTCAGCAACTAAGAGTCAAAGAGACTCGAGACTTGAGTGGTATGAGTTTGAGCGATACTCAATTGTCATATTAAAATATCAAGGTCATTCAGGTCACACGTAAAATAACGCGTTTCAAGGTTATTTGATGGTCATTCTATGATTTTCCACACTTATTCATCCTGGGTTAAGATTTCGAAGTTAGTTGTAACTGTCAACCAGAAGATATTGCAGTTTAATTAAAAAGGTACTGAGATTCTTTAATTAACAAAACTTATCATAACAGTTGACCCTAAAGACATAAGAGCCTGAAATTTTGATACTGGTGTTTTCACACATACTTTTTTATGATTATGCCTTCAAAATGCCGCTTTTTTTAAATTTTTGCGTTTCTCTTTCTTTACTTTCTTTTTTCTCAGTCTCTTTCTTTCAGTCTCTTTTTCTCAGTCTCTTTCTCTTTTTTTCAGTCTCTTTCTCTCAGTCTCTTTCTTTCAGTCTCTTTCTTTCAGTCTCTTTCTTTCAGTCTCTTTCTTTCAGTCTCTTTCTCTTCTTTCTCTTTCTTTCCGTCTCTTTCTCTTTCTTTTAGTCTCTATCTCTCAGTCTCTCTTCTCTGAGTCATACACGCGCTTAGACGTCACTGCCGCTTGCAGTAAGCCTAGTATAAATCAAACTTGTTTGACGGTGCTAAATCTGAATACGAATGCATCTACACTACTCGATACCTTGCCCGAAAGTGTCAATCTAATGTTGAATCCTATTATATTGATTGTATTACACGTTAAAAAAGCACCGAGAACTGAAATCCCCGTTCATATATCAATAAGATGTTATCAATTTGAATCAGAAGATAAGACAAACACACATCGAAAATAAACTTTGAGAAAAGATATTTCGATTGAAGGTTATTTTAATATCATTCCATAATAAAAACTAAAGGTTAAATAACCATTATAAACGAGTTATAAACATCCTACATGTACAATTGTCATTGACAGAAAAAGATTAGATAATTTTTAATCTAATCCACATTTAATTGAATTAACAGACAACCAGTTATCCTTTTCTTGAATTTATTTGTTCATTAAATTAAATCAGTTATCCGTTATTAAGTATTAATAATTAATATTAATAATTTTTCTGATGATGGATCAACAAGAAATAATCACAAACCGTTGTACCTATGATGAAGCTTGTTTTTTGTCTAAAATATTTTTCTGGTAAAATTAAATCTCTCATATTTTTCAGTTTTCTTATTAAATTCTCACTTATTTAAATTACTATCGAAAGGTGGACATCAAGTATACTGAGAATTGGATTAAAACGTGAACCAACCAAAGACGATCTTTACAAATGTCCTGCTGAAGATGAATCTGCTAAAACTACACGAGACTTTGAAAGGTAAGTTCAAGATTCTGATAGCTATTTTACTTTCACGATTATCTATGAATTTAGGAACTGGGGGCAAGAGATAAAAGACTCTAAAGCAACTAATAAACCACCAAGCTTGCTTAAGGCAATCATCAAAACCTATGGATTAACAACAGTATTCAATAGTTTTCTATTGGCGTTTGATGTAAGTTTCAACGTTTCAATTTTATTTGATAGAATCTCTTTTTTGTAATGAATCATTTGTGTTTTGAATTGAACCTTAGGATTCTTTGAATTTGGTACAAACTTTTCTCCTTGGATTAATTGTTCGTTACTATTCAAATAATAACTATACAAATGTGACCTGGAGAGAGTGTTTATTTTATTCGATTGGATTGACTGTAACTCTTTTCTTTTTTGGTTTTATTCGGCATCAAATTTTTCTTTCAACTTCAAGACAAGGTCTTCGAATACGAACTACGCTCACTGCAGTAGTTTATAAGAAGGTGAAATTTCGTAGCTATGCTAATTTTTGCAATAGAACTTACTAACTCTCTACTTTTTGAATTTAAAGTTATTGACAATGAGTCGAGCAGCAACAACGAAAACTGATATTGGTTATATTTTGAACATTATATCCAACGATCTTTCAAGATTTGATGATGTAAGTTTTTATTTGGCTACCTGATTGTCAAGAGATAATTGATTTTATTTTGGTTTTCAGTTGATGTTCAGCATAATGTATATTGTGATTGCACCGTTGATATCGATTGCAGCTTTAGCCTACTTGATTAGTGTTCTTGGAATTGCAAGTTTGGGATTACTTATTGTCCTCATAGTTCTGATACCGTATCAAGGGATTTGTGGAAAATATTTCGATAAATTCAGGTAAGCAAATAGCTCTGAGCTTTTTTGATAAAATAAACTTTTTCTGTTTAGAGTTGAAACAGCTCTTCTCACTGATAAGAGAATTAAATCAATGGAAGAAATGATTTCGTCTATTAAGATTGTCAAAATGTTCACGTGGGAACAATCGTTTGCTGATGTTATTTCAGAGATTAGAAAGTAAGTTTTCATTTTTGCGTGGAAAAAAAATTCACACTTAAATCAATTTATTGATCAGTATTTTCTACTCTCAGAAAAGAAATGGGTAAAGTTCGTAATTCAGCAGTTCTTAGATTGATGAATTTGATGGCTCATGCATCAGCTACAAGGATCATGGTTTTCGCGTGTCTAATAATTCATGTACTTCTTGGCCGACCATTGACTCCGGAATTGGCATTTATAACATTATCTTTATGTAATGGGCTCAAGGCCCCGGTTACATTTCATATTGGCAATGCAATCGGACTGCTTGTGGAAACTTTAGTCTCTATAAGAAGAACCCAGGTAAAGTATAATGAATCTTGGACTATCATGAAATTATCCAGATTATTATGCAATGCAGGAATTTCTTCTAGTGGATAGTCAAAAAGCATTGAGTCCACCATCAAGTGATGATGACCATGCGAAAGGTGCAATTGTGCTCGATAAATATGGAGGTAAATGGGATAAAGTGAGTTAACGAATCACATGCAATGTTAAGAATATTTTCGATGAGTGATTTCTGAATAAAACTTTATACATGTATTTATGATTAAGAACTTGAAAATTGACCATTTGAAAGATGTTTCATTGAAATTGGAACCTGGTGAATTATTACTGGTCATTGGTACTGTTGGTTCGTCAAAAGTGAGTCAGGAATTAAATCTGATCTTAATATAATCTAACTATTGATAATTTCCTCCTCTCTTTATTAGACATGCTTAATGATGGCTCTTCTTGATGAGATTGTAACCGTATCAGGATCGTGTATTGTTTCTGGAAAAAAGTCTTATTCACCTCAAGAACCGTGGACATTTGCCGGGACTATAAGACAGAACATTTTATTTGGTCGTGATTATAATGAGAAAAGATATCGAAAAGTAATTGACGTTTGTTCATTGAGAAAAGACCTAAAATCATTTCCATATGGAGACAATACTTGGGTTGGAGAGAAAGGTTATACTCTTAGTGGTGGTCAGAAAGCAAGAGTCACTCTCGCAAGGTCAGTACCATTTCAGTTTATTATACAGCCAAAGACTTTAAGCTTGCAACCACTTTTTAAATACTTCTGTGTAAGTATTGAATCAATGAGATACAGCTAACCCATAGATACGATAATAAGTATTGTCCCCTCATTTACAACGAGGTCTTAAAATGGTCAACTGATTGGATATCACAAGTTACCTTTACTTGATTATCATTAACTGTGCGAATGATTAAGTGGTTGCAAACCTGTGCCTTTGGCTGTATGTACATTTTTCAATCGGCAGTTAGATTGACCATTTCCTATTAATCTCATTAATATTAACAGAGCAGTTTATGAAGATGCCGATGTCTATCTTCTTGATGATCCATTAAGTGCCGTTGATCCTGGAGTAGCTGAACATCTTTTCGATAAGTAAGTAAACTATTGATCCTATTGTCGAATTGCGATTTTTAATTTTATTCTGTAATTAATAGATGCATCAATGGTTATCTCAAAGAAAAAACAAGAGTATTGATTACTCATCAATTACAATTCTTAAAGCGAGCAGATAAAATTCTCATCATGAATGAAGGTCAAGCATTGGCTTTTGGTACATTCAAGGAGTTGAATAATATTGGAATAGATTTCATCAAATTTCTTAAAGAATCGAATGAAATTGAAACGAATAATCAGAAATCAGAGGAAATGTTATCGATTGATGAACTTTATGGATTACCAGCACCATCACGATTAACCAAAACACAATCGAAAACATTGACACAAGTTAATTCTTTACAATTTATGGATCCATTAGATGAAATTTCGATCATTGAGAAACAAATGGAACAACGTGAAGAAAAAATTTCATTTGGTTCTCTTAAAGGTCGAGTTTATTTGGATTATCTTTTAGCTGGTGGAAACTTAATATTCATCAGTATTTTCCTAATAACATCATTCGCATCTCAAGGAATCATAAATTATGTCGATCTTTGGTTATCTAATTGGTCAGATGAGTCGCTTTTATTATCACAATCATTTAATGAAACTTTGGATGGAATGAGTTTCAAAGAATATTCCAAACCTTTTGTTACACGAAATGGTTTAATCTATTTGGGATTAATTATATTGTTATTAATTGGAGTTTTAATTAGACTTGGAATGAACTATCGAATTTGTCTGAAAGCTTCTGAAACTTTACACAATAGAATATTCAGTAAATTGTTACGAACACCATTAAGTTTCTTTGAAAATAATCCTGTGGGTAAGCATAATACAGCATTCTTGTTTTATAATTTAAAAGTGCTATTTTATGAATAATACTTGAATACTCAATCAATCGTGAAATTGGTCCAAATAACTTTTAGGTCGGATATTAAACAGGTTCACTCGTGATATTGGTCTTATCGATGTGACTATTGCAAATAGTTTTGTCTCGATAAATGTTGTAAGTACAAGTGTGAAATTATGTTGATAAACGTTTTTAATGAGATTCAACTAATTAATAGGATTTATTGCAAATTTTTGGCCTTATTTTTATAACTGCAAGTGTTTTGCCTGTTATCGTTATCCCCAATATTGTTGTTTTCAGTGTTGGATGGTTTGTGAGGCAGATCTACCTAAGGCTGGCTCGATTCATTTCGAGAGTCGAAGCTCAAAGTTAGTAAAATAAGCTTTTAGTTTCTCGACACAATCACTAGATTATAATAAAATTAATAGTAATATTATTTTCATTTCATAGCGAGATCCCCACTTTACAACCAAATCGCAACAACATACGAAGGCCTTACTACCATAAGAGTATGGCAATATGAATCGAAATACACTGACCAATTCTATCGATACTTGAATGACAACAATGCCTGCAAGTTCATTGCATTCAGTTTGAGTCGTTCTATTGGAATGATTCTTGACTTCATCATGCTTGCACTATTGGCTGTAATATTGATAGCAGTATTATCATTTCCTGAAAGGTTTGGAGGAGGTCAAGTAGGTCTAATAATATCGACGATGCTATCTGTTTTTGGTGCACTACAATATGGTGTCAAAACGACCGCTGAGCTTGAAACTAATATGATAGCAGTCGAAAGAGTCCTCGAGTATGGTGATTTACCTTCTGAACCTTCATGGAAAACTAACAAGTCTAACTTGTTACCTTCAATATGGCCTGATGTTGGAAACATTAAGTTCGATAGCGTTTACTTTACTTATCCAGGATCAGTTAATCCAGTTTTGAAAAATTTAACTTTCGATATTAAAGGAGGAGAAAAGATTGGTATTGTTGGTCGAACTGGTGCTGGAAAAAGTTCATTAATATCAGTGTTGTTTAGATTGTCAGAGTTTCAAGGAAATGTTCTAATCGACAATATTGACATTCAACAACTTGGTTTACATGATTTACGAAAGAAAATATCCATACCACAAGATCCACTTCTTTTTACTGGAACAATTCGTAGTAATCTTGATCCATTAAGTGAACAATCAGATGAATCCATTTGGTCAACCCTTAAAGCCGTAAATCTTTCACGGACAATCGAGTCTATGCCTGGTGGATTAGATGCAATAGTAACTCAAGGTGGATCTAATTTAAGTTTAGGACAACGACAATTACTTTGTCTTATTCGAGCTCTTTTACAACGGAATCGCATAATGATATTGGACGAAGCTACTGCAAATATGGACCATCAAACTGATTCACTGATTCAGGAAACAATTAGAAAAGAGTTTAAAGACTGTACTGTCCTAACTGTAGCTCATCGACTAAATACAATAATCGACATGGACAAGATCATCTTATTGGACGCTGGTCAATTGATTGAATATGGAGAACCATATTTACTCTTGAAAGATGAAAATAGTCACTTTAAATCATTAGTTTCTAAAACTGGCCCTTCATATGCTAAAATGTTATTTACTATTGCTGAGAAATCTTATCTAATGAAACATCCATCACAATCTGATGAAGAACTGAAATCTTAATTGATTAACCTTAAATCACAAGTGTAAAGAATTTTCAACATAACTTGACAGTAATTAATATCAATTAAAAAGATATCAAAGAGCACAAATAGACACAGTATTCATATATATATATAATAGATGTGACATTTTCCTTATCAAACATTTTCAACGTTTATCATTCACTCTGTTAAACGTAAAGAGTTAAGTTCTTTACTCTTTGGATTTAACGGTATCTACAATTCATTAACTTATTTCAATTTCTCTCACCTGACCTGCAATACTTCCCCTGTAGTTATGAGGTTTGATCTTTGCACAAATAGTATCGAATTAATTAACTCAAGTGGATTAAAGGTTATTCAGATCAGGAAACACGAGTCCTATCGGTGATTGACTTGATAATGCAACTATTAATAATTAGAATGGTATTACACAAAATTTTATTCGAGTTGAGCATTGACTAAATATTAATAGATCGGGAAGAAAGTTTCAATATCATTTCTTGTTTGCACAATTTCTCTCTTGATTTCAACTGAGGTAATCAAATAATCTGAACTATTCAGATAAAACCAGTAGCTTCCGTAATTTAAATAAATTACTATTTAAATATTTATAATAATCTCCTAGAAGATCGAGGGCCAATAGAACATTTTACCTTTTCTGACAAACTCAACGAATCGGATCAAGTTTTCATTAGTTTGACATCCAAAAAGTAGTCAAGTAATTATTATAAATGTGACAGTGATAACTGCCTCGTAATGAATTATTTGATAAGATATCTTGAGAAGATAAAATCTCTGATTAATACTGATTATCAAAAGGAAATTTTTCAATTACCGTTAATCTCAAATCTTTGTTTTCTTACTCAAATCAATATTATTGATACTTTTTTCTCGTTAAAAAGTGTTTCAAATCATCCAAACAAATTAATGCTCATTATTTGGGTATCATCAAGTAAATGGATAGGCCGGAGACCATCACTAATCCAAGTCACTATGATGATGCTTGTCTATTGTCAAAAATTTTCTTCTTGTAAGTTCATTTGATCTATTGTTGTGTTTTTTCAATTGGGGTATTTATTTTTTCACCAAATCCAATTTTCTAGTTGGCATGCAAGTTTCATGTGGATCGGTCTCAGTCGTGAACCAAATAAAGACGATTTTTTCAAGTGTCCTAGTGATGATGAAGCTCTTAAGGTTACAACGGATTTAGAAAGGTGAGTTACTTGTATTCATTACAATTAATACTTCTATATTATTAATGAAATAAAATTGTAGGGCTTCTAAGGTTAAAGTGTTTAATTACCTGATTTGTTTTTAATTATCAAATAGAAATTGGAATCGGCAAATTAAAGATGCTAAATCTAAAGGTCAGGCTCCCAGTTTACTTAAGACCATCATCAAAACCTATGGACTAACGACAGTCTTAAACTGTATTTTCTTAACGGTTGATGTATTTATTTCATGAAATCAATTAATTGGCTTTTAATGAATATGTGATTTTTTTCTCTCTCTCTCTCAACTCAATTTGTTTTTAGGATTCGTTAAACTTTATACAAACTTTTCTTCTTGGATTAATTGTTCGCTATTTTTCAAGTAACAATTACTCGAATGTGACCTGGAATGAGTGTTTATTCTATTCTATTGGATTGACTGTCGCTATATTCTCCTTTGGAATGATTCGACATCACGTTTCTCTTTCAACTAATAGACAAGCTCTTCGAATACGAACCGCACTCATAGCATTAGTTTATAAAAAGGTAAAAATTGTCCTAAGATCCAAATTCTGTTAAGAAATCAACCATCTACTCCTCTTTCGTCTGAAAAGCTTTTGAAAATGAGTCGAGCGGCAACCATGAAAACTGATATTGGTTATATCTTGAACGTAATATCCAACGATCTTTCAAGATTCGATGATGTGAGTTGGAAGTTTCGATCTTTTGAATGTTCTAATGTCCGTTTTTTTCAATCATTCCAGTTGACTTTCAGTATAATGTACATTTTTATTGGACCATTTATGGCAGTTGCAGGTCTAATCTACATGATAAATATTCTGGGTCTCGCAAGTTTAGGACTACTTGTGGTTCTAGTATTCCTTATGCCTTTTCAAGCGATGTGTGGAAAATTTTATAATAAATTCAGGTAAATTTTTTACTTACAATAAGAATAACTTTGAATAATGTTTATTCCCGATAATTATCTGAAAGGAGAGAAACAGCTCTTCTTACTGATAAAAGGATAAAATCAATGGAAGAGATGATTTCATCGATTAAGATAATCAAAATGTTCACATGGGAACAATCATTTGCTGATATTATCTCTAAAATAAGAAAGTAAGTAACAAATCACAAGAAAAAATTGACAAAAGTTATCACAATTAACTATTTGCTGACTAGTTTTTTATTTATTTTAGACAAGAAATGGTCAAAATATACAATTCATCAATTCTTAGATTGATGAACATCGTGGCAAACGCTTCAGCGACTCGGATCATGGTGTTTGCTTGCCTTCTTATTCATGTGATACTTGGAAGACCATTGACTCCAGAATTAGTATTCATTACTTTATCTCTTTGTAATTCACTTAAAACACCAGTAACTCTTCACATTGGTCTTGCAATTGGATTAATTTCTGAAGCTCGAGTTTCTATTAAAAGAATTCAGGTAAATTTTCAACACAGTCATCGAAATAAAATGTAAATAAAGTAGAAAGATGTCAACTTGTTCAGGATTTGCTTCTAATGGACGATAAAAAAACTACCAATTTGAATGATTCATCTAATAATTATGGAATCAGTCTTCCCAAAGGTTCCATTAAACTAGATAGATTTCGTGGTAAATGGGATAATGTAAGTTAATTACTGTTCAATTATCAAAAAATGGCTGAATAAATAATAATGTTTGATCTCCCAGAGCTTGAAAATTGACCATTTGAAAGATGTATCCTTGAAATTGGAGCCTGGTGAATTATTACTGGTCATTGGTACGGTTGGTTCATCCAAAGTGAGTTAAGAAATCGAAACTCTAACTGATCTTATAAAAATTACAAGTAATTTCCTCCTCTCTTTATTAGACATGCTTAATGATGGCTCTTCTTGATGAGATTGTAACCGTATCAGGATCATGTATTGTTTCTGGAAAAAAATCTTATTCACCTCAAGAACCGTGGACATTTGCTGGGACCATAAGACAGAACATTTTATTTGGTCGAGATTATAATGAGAAAAGATATCGAAAAGTAATTGACGTTTGTTCATTGAGAAAAGACCTAAAATCATTTCCATATGGAGACAATACTTGGGTTGGAGAGAAAGGTTATACTCTTAGTGGCGGTCAGAAAGCAAGAGTCACTCTCGCAAGGTCAGTACCATTTCAGTTTATTATATGTACATATTTCAATAGACAGTTTGATTAACCATTTTCCCTAAATCTCATTACCATTAACAGAGCAGTTTATGAAGATGCCGATGTCTATCTTCTTGATGATCCATTAAGTGCCGTTGATCCTGGAGTAGCTGAACATCTTTTCGATAAGTAAGTAAACTATTGATCCTATTGTCGAATTGCGATTTTTAATTTTATTCTGTAATTAATAGATGCATCAATGGTTATCTCAAAGAAAAAACAAGAGTCTTGATTACTCATCAATTACAATTCTTAAAGCGAGCAGATAAAATTCTCATCATGAATGAAGGTCAAGCATTGGCTTTTGGTACATTCAAGGAGTTGAATAATATTGGAATAGATTTCATCAAGTTTCTTAAAGAATCGAATGAAATTGAAACAAATAATCAGAAATCAGAGGAAATGTTATCGATTGATGAACTTTATGGATTACCAACACCATCAAGATTAACCAAAACACAATCGAAAACATTGACACAAGTTAATTCTTTACAATTTATGGATCCATTAGATGAAATTTCGATCATTGAGAAACAAATGGAACAACGCGAAGAAAAAATCTCATTTGGTTCTCTTAAAGGTCGAGTTTATTTGGATTATCTTTTAGCTGGTGGAAACTTAATATTCATCAGTATTTTCCTAATAACATCATTCGCATCTCAAGGAATCATAAATTATGTCGATCTTTGGTTATCTAATTGGTCAGATGAGTCGCTTTTATTATCACAATCATTTAATGAAACTTTGGATGGAATGAGTTTCAAAGAATATTCCAAACCTTTTGTTACAAGAAATGGTTTAATCTATTTGGGATTAATTATATCCTTATTAGTTGGAGTTTTAATTAGACTTGGAATGAACTATCGAATTTGTCTGAAAGCTTCTGAAACTTTACACAATAGAATATTCAGTAAATTGTTACGAACACCATTAAGTTTCTTTGAGAACAATCCTGTGGGTAAGTATTGATTGAATAACCTAAGAGTTGTTATTTTAATACTAGAGAGCTTGGAAATTGTTTTGAATGAATTTCAGGTCGGATATTGAACAGATTTACTCGGGATATCGGAGTTATTGACGTGACACTTGCGTATTCTACAATCATTACTAATTCGGTAAGGTCGATCGTGTAGATGAGTTTGTGTTCATCAATTAATCAATTAATTCATTAATTAGTAGGATCTACTGCAACTTTTTGGACTAATTATAATCACTGCAGTAGTTTTACCATATGTTATTGTTGCAGCGATTGCTGTCTTTTGTTTCAGTGTTTTCGTAAGGCAAATATACCTGAAATCGGCTCGATTCATATCAAGGGTTGAAGGACAAAGTGAGTCGGTAAAATGATTGATTTTAGATTAATTTTAATGTTTAGATTTCATCATCTTTCAGCTAGGTCACCGATTTACGATCAGATCGCCTCAACTTACGAAGGACTCGCTTCTATTCGAGCTTTTCAGTACGAATCTCAGTATATTAAGCAGTTTTATCGATACTTGAATGACAATAACTCTTGTAAATTTATGCTCTTTGGTGCCAATCGTTTGCTCGGTGTAATTCTCGACTTCGTAATGCTATTATTGCTTGTTCTAATTCTAACAATACTTCTAACATTCTCGGATCAATTCGAAGGAGGTAAAGTTGGTCTCATTTTATCAACGATGTTGACAGTATTTGGAGCTCTTCAATGGACAATTAGAAATACTTCTGATCTTGAGACATATATGATTGCAGTCGAAAGAGTCCTCGAATATGGTGATTTACCTTCTGAACCTTCATGGAAAACTACCAAGTCTAACTTGTTACCATCAATATGGCCTGATGTTGGAAACATTAAGTTCGATAGCGTTTACTTTACTTATCCAGGTTCAGTTAATCCAGTTTTGAAAAATTTAACTTTCGATATTAAAGGAGGAGAAAAGATTGGTATTGTTGGTCGAACTGGTGCTGGAAAAAGTTCATTAATATCAGTGTTGTTTAGATTGTCAGAGTTTCAAGGAAATGTTCTAATCGACAATATTGACATTCAACAACTTGGTTTACATGATTTACGAAAGAAAATATCGATAATACCACAAGATCCACTTCTTTTTACTGGAACAATTCGTAGTAATCTTGATCCATTAAGTGAACAATCAGATGAATCCATTTGGTCAACCCTTAAAGCCGTAAATCTTTCACGGACAATCGAGTCTATGCCTGGTGGATTAGATGCAATAGTAACTCAAGGTGGATCTAATTTAAGTTTAGGACAACGACAATTACTTTGTCTTATTCGAGCTCTTTTACAACGGAATCGCATAATGATATTGGACGAAGCTACTGCAAATATGGACCATCAAACTGATTCACTGATTCAGGAAACAATTAGAAAAGAGTTTAAAGACTGTACTGTCCTAACTGTAGCTCATCGACTAAATACAATAATCGACATGGACAAGATCATCTTATTGGACGCTGGTCAATTGATTGAATATGGAGAACCATATTTACTCTTGAAAGATGAAAATAGTCACTTTAAATCATTAGTTTCTAAAACTGGCCCTTCATATGCTAAAATGTTATTCACTATTGCTGAGAAATCTTATCTAATGAAACATCCATCACAATCTGATGAAGAATTGAAATCTTAATTGATTAACCTTAAATCACAAGTGTAAAGCATTTTCAACATAACTTGACGTAATTAATATCCATTAGATATCACAAATAGAACAATATTTTCATATCATTATTTAGAAGTAATTATAAAATCAATTTCTTTTCTAAAGAATATAATCAATTATCAGAATTTAATCGGTTTGACATGATTGTGGTGTTACACTGTTTAATCTTCTTGGACGAACCAAATCTCAGCCAGAAAGATAATTATTAGTACTGTTGAAAGGGATGAGAAGAAATTGGGTCCAATCAAAGTTGATTTAGCAAATTGAAATCCGATGTCATTCTTAGAGACTCTGTAGATAAACATGGACAGCTGAATAGAGACACAAGATAATTAGTTAATCGTTTTCATGTAATTTCATTATCGATTATAACTATTGCTAGGATTGTTCTAAACGTTACCTCATAATCAACTTCAACACAATCAGTTGACAAAGTTAATTGGTATAAATCGTTAAAACAAGAATAAGCAGCGATGTTTACCTTCATCATTCTGAATGTTGTAAACAATATTTGAACCAATCCTAAAAAGTAGAGGAACTTTTTCAAAATACTCGAATCAAAATTGTATTCATTGGTGGCGATTGAATAGCAAATGAAAGATAAACGAAAAATAAATAAAAGATGAACCAATGTGATGAAAACTCTTAAAACTTCAGCAATATATTTCGTCAAGTGTATGATATCATTATAAATGGAATGAATTTCTTGTATCTGTAATAGCGATATTGGTTTTTGGGAAACTTTAATCAAATGATGAACATAATTAAAGGATATTGTTAATAATGATGTTATATCAAGCAGTAGACTGAATTGGAATCCAAGATACATTATAACCCCAAAAGCATAATGAGCGACTTTATAAATGATAAAAATGGTCGATGAGAATTGACGAGAATCAAATAGATTGAAATTTCTCGATGTATTAATTGTTGAGACGATTAGTTGAACTGAAAATATAATCAACATTTGTAATCTATCGGTGGATACACACTTTCGATTGAACTGAGATGGTGGTAATTTTATTTTCGACCATAACCTGTTAATCTTGATAATATTTGAATCTCTGAGTGTCCATTGGTGACTGAGCAAAATATAATATAAAACCAGATTCTCAGCTAGAAAGTTTATCAATCGAAAGCGATTAATGCTAGAAGATAATGATAGCTTATTGAAGGTATGAATCTGATCGGTAATTGATTGGATGATATAACCAGTTAGAATAATATTCCAGATAATTTTTCGTCGAGTTGAACATTGACTGAACAGTTTGACCAATGGAAAAAATGTTCTAATATCAATTCTGTTTCCATATGACTCTTCATGTCTCCCCTGATTGAATGTAAACCGATTGAGGTAATCAAATGATCTAAAGCGATTAGCCTGGACTGATCTACGAGGCAAATAACTTTTCGTTTCCTCAGGAAATATATTGAGTATTTTAACCATGACAATTTTCACAGTACAAAGTCAACCAGAAATATATATGAAATGAACTATTAACTTGATCAAATCAAATGAGAAAACTGAAAAGATCAAGACAATAGAGAGTAAGTTTGTATCGTTTATGATTTGCTTGGTAACGAGAATGACAATGAGTAGCAATTAATCAGATAAATATGAAATGTCAATCAATAATATTCACGTTGATGTAGCGCAATCAATGCTTTTATTAATGAATAAAAAGCTTTTACAATAAAATAATTTGTCAGGATTTACCATCAATCGATAATTTTCTTGTATAAAATTGAGACAAATTTGTTGAGTTCAACTGTACTTTGCAAGTGACTAAAAACTGGTGAAGAAATATTTTTACGGAACCGGAATGATATTCATTATATTTTTTCATTTTTCCTTTTGTAATGAGGATTGGACGATTTAAGGCGATTGTGAAGGCCAATTATTGTTTGACAGATCAGAATTGATGCTCGAGATCCAAAGACTGATAATTTATAACTGTCATGGTTTCGAAGTGCTGGTGTGTGCACAATCGATACGCATCCAGATATAGTTTTAAGCAATGAAATGAATGGACCAATTTCCACAGAGTCATCATCTTTTCCTGATAGGACAAAATAAGTTGAGTTGGTATTACAATTGAACGATCCATCAGGTATCTTACTAATACAAGTTCCTTCATAATATTTTCTCTCAAGAATTAGTACAGTCATTAATCCAATAGGGTCATTACATGCATCGAATAGATTCTGTTTAAAATCGAGACATTTCTGTTTGGAAATTATTTCTGAGAAAATTTGTAAGAGCACCCAGCCAGGTGATTCAGTTTTTCTTTTCCCGGAGATATAATAATCAATTATCTTCACGAAAAGATCTTTCATGTCCTTAATGATTCTATTAGAATCATTCGCTTCTGCTTTAGACCGCATGAGATATTGAGCAAGCCATTTGCTCAAAAATTTCCAACATGAATCAGCAGCCGCTTTTCTTTCTTTAATATCACCAGAAAATCCGCCGGAAACAGTTGGCATATTGCGCGTAACAGTAAGCCGATTTTCAATTTTTTTAGGTTTTCCTGGTTGAGCAAGTAACTCGAATAGGTGGATAGAATATTTTCCAATCCAAGGAAGACCACAAAATGATTTCTTGGAGCTTAGAACTTTTTTCATGGATATCATATAATAAGCTGAAGCTTTAGCCATTTTCGCATCTGCAAGTTCCTCTTTCGACTTATAATGCCATTTTAAAGAGTTGAACTCCTCGTAAAAATTTTCTGTGATGGGTTTCACAAGTAAGTTGTATACACAAAAAATTGTGCTGTCTGTGTGATTTTGAGAACGATGCATTTTAGAACTGTTTGGTCCGAAAAGAACACTTTTTTCATTGATCTGAGTGAAAAGTTCAACTTCGTCTCCAAACTCGCTTATATCTAAAATGTGTGAAACAATCGAAACATAAGTTTCGTGGTCTCGATTAGCGGTGTGTAGATATTTTTTCCAATCAGGATGCTCAAGTTTAGGATCAATTACCGGTTCAATTATTTTCAATTTTGAAGTTTCTTCAGCTAGAAACAATTCAAACATTGAGATGGTTCGGTAAACTGAACCCAAGGCTCGAGCAGAATGGTAGCTCGGTTTAATATTCCAGTTTTGACTGAAATCTGGTGATTCTCGGTAGCGTTCTTCTTTAGAAAGAGTCTTTGTGTCTCCAGTTTTAGCAAAGTCGAGTGATATTGAATATTTCCTAGCCAATTCAATGTTACGATCATGGAATATACCTTGCGGCAACATGTCAGCCCAAACAAGATGAGCACTAGCAATTCTGCCAACAGCACAATCTTGTAAATACCGTGTGTAAAACATGACAATCTCATGATTGTTAATAGGATCGTTTTTATCATGAGATACATCAGGAAATTCCATAGGAGGATGGATATTTATGTCCATAAATTCTTGAGCCCATATTACACAATATTCATCACCATCAAGATCAGAGCCCGCCATTTCATTGGAATGAGGCCGAGCTCCATCAACAGGGAAAACAATACAATCCCTAATGCCATGCAATTCCTCCTTATCGACTGCCTCTAATCGTCGAACATCACCAGGATGCATACAGGGAAATTTAGTAACAATAACATTACCCTTAAGCGGTTCATCAAAGTCACTTGGGAATATGAAAACTTCGCCATATTTGAGGACTCCTTTACGTAAGCTTTCACTTTTAGTTGTAGAATCATTTAGAGCTTTTTTTGGTTCTTCATCGAAAAATAATGAATTCTTTGAGCAAGGAAACGAGCTCTGGCCATTTTTATGAAAAATTGTGATTGTTTTTGAACCTGAATTGCGATTAGGTATTAGAGCATATGGTAAATGATACGTGGCAGTTGGATCTGCAACTCCAAATAAAGTGCGAGCAATATCTAAATCCAATGGAATCCGAGCTTTTTGCTTGATAACATCCAATCCTTGATGGAAAACAAGCTCAAGAGATGCTCTGAAAAATGGATCACCAAGAAGATCATAGTCATGTTCAACCAATTGTTGATAGTCAACAAATCGATGTAAATCAGAAAACATGAATAAAGTTTTCGATGCTTTGTCGTTGCAACGAAAAGATTCAACTAAATCATCTATTGCCTCGGACAGGAGGTTAACGAAAAAGTGATTATCTAGCCCAATTTGATTCAATATTGTAACTAAAGGTTTATTTAGATATGCACGTCGAGGCTCACTTATTTTAACAATTCCAAGTTTTCCTGGTAACGAATCAACTTTTCGCATACCTGTTGGATGGAGATGATAATATTTCGATAGTTTATTGCAAGTCAACAGTAATTATTATATCACAATAATTGTAAAAAGTTTCAAGAACTTACTTTCTCGCAAGACAATCACTTTACCGGACAAATTTTCATCCAATATAATCATTCCTTTACATCCCATGAACCGAATTTGATAAGCCGTTGATATTTTTTTTTCTTCTTTATGACGATCTATTTTAATTACCCCTTGACGTTTTAAATCTTTCCAAATATACTCAGCAAGTTGAGTAGACATAAGGCCACAGCCATCGGTAAAATTATAAGGTTTTTTTGAGTCAGGATGTAAACCACCAGTAACATCCTTTGTGTATCGAACTTCAATGTCAGCGGGTAGATCAACAAATGCCAAAACTTGACTCAAACTTAGACCTATTCTAGCAATGTATTTGGATATTTCGGTTACCTCAATCCTACCAATAGTATCTCTCATTGATTCAGCATCAAGATCATTAGCATCTGGGGCATAAAGTACCATTCCATGATCACGAAGTTGAGATGTAGAAGCACCGTAAATATGATAACTTTTACCAGAAATATTAAAACTTGGTAAAAGTCGCTCAGCAAAGCATTTTTTGAGAAAATACTCATAAGGTGATGGAAGTTTAGCTTCAATGTCCGGTGACTCTGCTCTTTCATCGTGCTTAGCACAATCCTCCTCATTTCGAGTGACTGCAAATCCCAAGTTACCCATATCTTCATCACGGATGGTCAACCTTAAGACACATTCAGGCTGAGCAATTTCAAGAAATTGGCAAGATTGAAAAGTATATTCAGGTAAGATGAGAATCCTTGTTGGTGTTAATAAAACTCGACGTAAATGTTTGATGTAAGGATTGGAAGAACATCTCATTTTGTCAATCGAAGGCCAATCTTTTTCGACTCTTTTGAAAATTGTTAGCAATCTCGAAAGACCATGGTAAACTTTACGATAAAGGTAATCATCACACAATTTGTACATTGCAGTGATTAACCAGCCAGTGTTATTTTCAGTAATTTGTAATTTGATGAAATTTAGCAGCACATGAAACTGATCGTTGATTATCAAATCGTCTTGAAAGGCATAAGACACGGACTGAATACATTGAAGAGCATAATTAACGTCAAATGGAATATCGGAGATCAGATCAATAGGACGATGACTCCCTTTGATTATTTCAATGGACCCAAAGAAAATACTCAATCGTGAGTAGCGACGCCACACATAGAAACATCTGACGATTGCCAGGAGATCTTGAGAAGAGTCGTGCGGAAGGTTCAGGGAAAAGACAGAAGATCTTCCGATGCATTCGGGTGAGATACACCCACAGTCATGCCACCGAGTCCAGGATTCACCGAAGAATCTTTGCCTGGGGAAAGGATTGAAACGGTGTTTTTGATAATCGAAAACATGAAATTTACTCTTCTTCATATCAATAATGTCTGGATCCATATCATGAGTTTCGATGTAAATTTTTGGTGGATTGGAAATGTGGAAAAACACATTGTAACCAGATTCTGATCGCGATATTGTAACTGCTCTAACTGTTTTATATTCAAAAACGAGTTTGAACCTTTGGTCAAATTTTTGGCTTTTTACTTCGAAAATTAGTTCCATAAGCTCGTCGGTGTGGCGTAGATTAAATTCTGGTGAATTGATTGGCTGATCAACACTGTTGAATTGTTGAACAAATATAGTTCCGTTGATGAAATTACCCAAACTGAATCCTTTAAACTTTAAAAACTGCGAAGGCATGTAGCTAACCGAACCAAAATCTGATAAATCCTCGAAACGGTGATCATTTTCTTCAACAAATTTCCAAATAAATCCAATCTTATGGGCAACAAGATTGACAGTTACCTTCTCTCCATTGTTTGGTATAAACTGAGAAACTGATTCTACAAAAGAAGAAAATTAATAATAAAATATATTCGTATAAGTGGAATAAGTTTCAATTAAGTGACAAAGAAAAACTCACCCAATGGACCAGTTAAGTGATTGATGATTTCAGCAAAACTTTGAGTTGATTCTTCAATGTCAATAAAGCCTTCGAAAAGATCGAGACATGGCTCATCATCATGAATTAGTTTGTCACTACAGGAGAAAAAATCCTTTGACTTGAGTCTATTTTTTTCCAACCAATATCCATGTTTGTTCCTAAGCACAGAATTTAATTCAACGTAAGCACCAATTTCGTTGAACAGGCTGGACAAATGATCCAAAGCGATGGAGAGATTATCTTTATTTGAATGGTCAACTTGGAAAACTTTCAGGAGAAAATGGATCCTCCATTTAGACGAGTCCTTCTTCCTATCGGTGATCATGACAAAAGAAAACAAATAAAAAAGTACAATTAATATTGAGTTAATTATCACAATTAAGAAAATATGGTCAGTAGATATCAACAGTTCTAATTAAAAGTTGGAAATGTACTCAAGAGGATTCTAAATAGTGTCAACTGTTTATCACAGTTGTTTTAATTGAATTAAAGACAGGAGGATAATTTAATTTAATAAATATCGTCAGTTAGTTACTCATCACTGATGATGAGTTAATCCTAATTAACTTAAAACAATAATATCCAAAAGATAAAACAAAAGATATGACGGGAAACTAAAGAGAAATCATTAATTTCTCATAGCAATCGGAATCATATGACTAATTAGAAACAATTAAAACATTGATAAGATTCAATTATGAGAAATGGAATTCTCAAAAATGATCACTAATTAGTAATTTAAGTAATTTAATCCTTTCACCATACTTACCAAAACAACAAGAGATTAGTTAACCAATGGAATCATTAAAATCTTTTAGGTGTATTTAAGTTTCTCCCATAATGTACTTTGATATCTAATTAGGAAGAAACAAGAAACCTCAAAGGAAAAAGGCGTTTAAAGTGGCTAATTAAATTTCTAAAACGAAATTAAAACAAAATCAGATTAAATTAATTAATCAATGAGAAGATTAAGATGATCAACTGATTGAAATGAAAACGAATTTAAAATTCAAAAAGTTCGATTGGTTTGCCACCTGGCGGATTTTCGAATTTACTCTTTGCGCTCGAAATTCAAAGTAAAGTGAATTCGATCTGTTGAAAGATTAAAATGAAAAAGAATAGAATTTAATTTAATTTGTAACAATTGATATTCGTTTTTTAATCAACACAGGAGAAAAGTTGGTTAAATTTGAGACTTTTTTGTTTTTTTGGGATATTCGTTACATCGTTGGATAATATGTAGCTTTTAATTTTATATTTTTTCCAATTTTAAGAATAAAATTATTACATTAAATTGATTATCTATTGATAATTTAAAGTGATTGATTTTGAAACTATTTGAACAATAATTAAGTTAATGATTAATGGAAGTATCTTAGTATTCATGAGCATTTTCCTCTGATTCTTTTATTGTTGTTGGTGTTTATTCATAAAATACTGTGTCAAAAATGGCAAATGATTGCATCCGATTGTCCTGTTGAAATAAGAATTACAATTAATTAGAGTTAATTAAACATTAGAATTGAGATAATTTTTATTTTTCCATTACTTATGGGAAAATATAATTGGAGGGAAAAAGTTTTCAGTTTCATCTTTTTCTTTTCATCACTAGATGTCACATCCATTTGATAGGAGAGATGATAATTTACCGTTAGGTTAATTGTTATGATGAAATACTCGTAATAACTTATTGAATATGAATATATACACTTTATTGATTATAATCTTGTCCAATTGTTCATGAGATTAAATGAATAATTCAAATGGACCCTTTCAATTTGCTCTTCACATTCAATATAATTTATCATGTTGTAAGCAATTTATTTCAACTTAAATTGTTGAGAATATAATAATTTATTTATCATAAGAAAGTAGGAAAAAGATGATGATGAAGATAAATTCAGAGATTATAAATATATTCTTATTCTTACCTTTTTACACCAGGAATGAAAGTCTTCATAGGTAATAGAACCTCGATTATGAATATCGATTTCCTAATTCAAAAGAAAAGGAAGAGAAATAAAGAGAAATGATGATGATGATGATGATTGAACATTCGAATCAGCATAACATGATGAATATAGATATGGAGGAAGGAAGAATAAAATAAAAGGTAAAGAATTCGAACAAGATGAACATGAAGAAAAGATTCTGATGAAGATAAAGATGAAAATCGATGAACGAAAAAAAAGAAAAAAAAATAATAAATGAACTTAACGATAAGATGATTACTCTTAACAAGATTATTTCATTGATTAGAAATCAAAATCAAGAGGATCAGATAAAACATGGAAATCAATCAAGAAGGAGAGATGAAGTAACCAAATCCAATGATGATCAATATTATCATTCAAATGAACATCATGATTTCATGTAATAGATTCTGAGATTATGATTAACATGAATGCTCATGAATTATGATTTACAACTTACTGAGAAAACCCTTTCAACGTGATTCCTTATTGTTGAATCTCTGAGTTGAGGTTGGATACAATTACCAAGCATAAAGTAAACCGATTTGACAACAATTAACATATCATCTTTGGTGATTACTTGATCACCATTAACATCGTATAACATGAAAACCCATTCAATTTGATCATTAAGATTACCTCGTGAAAGCATTGATAATATGCTTAAGAATTGCTGTACCAGTTGAGTAAAACAAAAAAAAACGTAAACAAACAAAAGAGCAATTAGTTAATTAACATTGACAATTTAGTTGACAAATAATAAACTTACATCAAAGTTAATTGAACTTTTCTTGAGGTAACGTTTACAAGCATTGAATACACATGATGCATATAATGAACCATCTAAGTTAACGGTAAAACAATTAAGGTAATATTTTGATTGATTGAAAAGGTTAATTGTTGTTGTTAGTTAATTGTACTTACCTCCTAATGGGAAAAAAGATGAGAATAAGTTTTTAAATGAATCTTCCTTACAAACACCATTGGGACATTCCTATTGAGAATTGAATTTGAAATTAATTGTTTACATGAGAAATTGGCAGATGAAGTTATTGTAATTAGATAGCATGTAAACTTAACAATTAATCAATTGATTGGTGTTATTTATGATTTATTCATAACTTTCACCGAAATAGACACAGACTGATTAAATTGCTTCTTAAATTGCGAAAAATATTGAGATTAAAGTTGTAATTGTAATTGAAATAGTAATATTTAATCATATCTCTTTTCTTATTCAATTTATATTCAAATCAGTTTAAATCAAAGATGATATTTATCTTCAGAATCAGTTGATTCTGATAATTTATCAAGAGTCTTCAATCTAAGATTACATGTAACTGAATATTCAATTATTAAATCATAATAAATAATAAAGAGAATTGTAGTTCTAATATAAAAAAATCGTTCAAAAAATAAACATTTAGTTTCATATTCTATTGATAAATCATGGTTCGTATCCTCAGCATGATTGGAATTGAATCAATGAATATTATGGTGATAAAATTAATAAACTCATATGTACATGGTAAAATTTATCATCACCCTTGTAATTGTTTCATATATTAATAATACTATAGTTTTATATGAAAGATTTGAATATCTACTTTTATGCTTATGATAAATAATCAAAATCTAATTCATATATCACTCGTTGTTCATTTGTCCATGGGATCAGGAAACGGAAATGATGATGAAAATGTGAGGTCATCATGTTATACTTGTTCCTGTTTAGACAGAAATGAACATCAATCAAGGTCAGAAAGTGAATATAGTCGAATATATGTTATTATTAAAATTTCGATTTCTTTCTTTAAAATCATTCTAAAGAGATTGATTCCTTGGAGTCTGTTCGTTACTATTAGAACTTTATCGCCTCATTAATCATGAAAATTTCAGCAAAATTTTCAGTGTTATTCTGATCAGTGCAAATGCATAATAAATAGATTTACCGTTACTAATTTATCATCCACTATTCTAATCATTGTGATTTTAATATTGATTATCGACAATTCTGATATCCTACTGATTAATTGTATCATCATCACTCAATCAGCAGAAAAAATTGTTTCAATGTTTACAAGTGATTTGAGAATAAATTTTTACTTCCAAAGTATTCTTGTTGAGTAAAATCTGATTAATGAACGAAAGCTGAGTCAAATTTTAACCCTTAAATTTACCTGTTTGAATCCTTGGTAAATTTTTCTCAGCTCGTGCTTAGAGAACTGAGTTGTACTTGCCAATTTCGTCATATCTCCTGGCTTATAACGTGGTAATATGAACAGTTCATCCTCGAGTAAAATGTCTATTGAGAAAAGACAATCGTAAAGTTATTAATAGTTAGATACAATGGTAAATATTAATAGCTTTCAAGCTGTGAGTTGATTTCATTAGAGTAATTAGAAAGGATTAAAGTTCAAATTGTTTCGAAATCACATTTGTAGTTGACGATTATTTTTATATTAATATTTATCCCGAATGATAATTAACTGATAACAGAATCAAAGTTATAAATAGTCGTGGAAAATGAAGTAAACTGAACAGAGAAAGAAAGTGTTCTAAAATTGGAATCTTATCATTGAGACTTAATGATGATAGCTATTACATGTATAAAGACTGGGGTGAAACTATGGAGGTAGAAAAGGTAAAAGAGAAGAGAATAAAAAAAGAGAATATGATGAAGACGAAATTCTGGTTGAGAAATATTAAAGTGAATTTCAGTGTCAAAAGCAAAAGATTTTGAGAGATATACTTTTTCTACCTTAATGCTCATCAACTTCTTCATGAGGTAACCTTCTTGATAGATGGTGAAAGTTAAATAAGCTTAAACTCTGTGATAGAATCAATAGGCTTGATTCATGATTATCTCAAAATTTCTGAACATTCATGTACCCTGACAAGAAGAGTCCAGCCTCAAGGAACAAAGAATCCATCCCATTCAACCATTTAATCTTTAGAAAAGAAATAAAAAATTCTTCCAAACTTCCCCTTAAAAAAGACATCATCATCATCATCTTTCATGAAGAGATAAACTCATGTTGCCGTCATCATGTTCTGTCATCAACATCATCATGTTGATGGATAATAATCAAATATCAAGTCACTTTTTTTACATTCTTTTTGGTTACCTGATTTAATATTATAATAAACGACTTGAAAATGAATCTGGTGTCGACATATTTTCACCATGATGATGATTATCGAAATTCCTTCAATTATTAAAATCCTCAAAATTGCCTCTCCCTAATTGTTTACACCTTGTTGTACTTTCACCTTCTCATTTTTATGATTATCATCATACCAACATTTTATTATTCAAATTAATTCATGATAAATTTTACTTTTTTTATCATGAAACTCAACTGAAATTCAGTCACACCTTTCACATTATCAACATGATTAACTTGAAATGAAGTGTTATTATAATAAGAATGATAATTTTATATCTTGATTGGATATTTTTATTTCATCTTTTCAATCTAAATATTGATCTTAAATTTTGATAAAAAGGTTAGAATATGTAATCATATTTATATTCTGACATGGACATGATTGTATCATCAGTTACTTTAATCTCTTCATTAATCAAAGTATCAAAACATTACGACATGTTCATGATGAAAATTAGCAATAATCTTCGATTGAAAAAAAGTTCAGTCTAAATGTGTTAACTTTTCTGGCTCATCCTTTTGACCCCAAGGGCTCACATGTGACTTTGATTTGGAAATGAATAACCTTCTAAAATATCCATGACTTTTTGGGGATTATTTTTCATTTCAATAATAAATTTCAGTCTTTGCTCGGAAAATTTCACGAATTTAGATTATTATTATTGTATTCATTATTTTGGTTATACGAACAATATGTTACTCTGAAAGTGTCAAGTTAATTATATATTTGAATATTATCAACATTCCCTTAAGGAATAGTCATCGTCGGAAATGTAATATTATATTTCTGTGTATTCAGTGAGAATATCATGAAATATTATATATTCAGATGAATGATAAAAATTATGGCTATGTAATTATCTCAATTTATATGAATTATCATTTGTTTAGATGTTAAAATTTGCTATTAGAAACTTAATTAGCTAATGTATCATGTTGCCTTGTTCATTCTGAGCTTTTCATAATTGTTCTGGTCATTTGTTGAACTTCTAGATCTATTCTTATAATTATTTGTTATCTTACCATGAAAATAACATGAAACATTAAGTTTCCTCTCCTTTTGAGCAATTGTTAATATTATCATCTTTTAGCATTGAATTTCATTCCCTGGAATGGTTATCATTCATTTCTTCTTGTATCATCATAATTGTTTCAGCTTTGTTTTCAACTATTATCCCAAATTAGCATCATCTTTACACCAAGAAAAATTGTATATTTTTAATGATCGAATTCAATGGGCTAGAGTATTATGAAAGTGTACCCCTTAAAAGCAGGTACCCCTTAAATGCATATATTTGTACACCTTCTGCAGTTTATTAAATGCTTATTTTTTTCATTTCCTTTTCCTTTTGATCTAATTGTAATGATCCAGGGTAAAGGGTGGAGAGGGTAAAAAGGTAGATTATTTAATTAACCAATTTATTTTTTTCATTTAATGAAAGAAAAGCCTTTAAATCTACCACGTTCGGCAAACATAAAAAACAAATAGAAAATTGAAAACTTCAATGTATGTTCATGATGGATGATATACAGAAGATATGCTTATTCAGCTTAAACGAAAAAGATCGTATAAAAAGAAAGAGAATCATGATTAAAATCATCAGTTGAACATTAAACTTACATACTAATAGTAACTATTGAACTGTTTTAATATTGTAACATCTTCAACGATTTAATCATCTTGTTAAGGATCTTTGGGTTATCTGCTACATTCTTTGGCTTTGAATCATCTTGTTAAGGCTCTTTGGTAGCCTTTAGTAGGTAACGGTAACCATCGTTATACTGACTGACCCAGGACATATCCATCAAATCTATTTGCCATTGTTCATCAATCTTGTTAACTAAAATTGGTAATCGAGGAAATTTATTTTTATTCTGTTTGAAAAGAACGTAAGTGTCTTGATCCTTTAACCATTTATGTACATCGCTCAATTTAGCAGATGGATCAATCTTTTTAATTGCCTTGAACAGTCGGTTCGGCGAGTAATATTCTCTCTCATAACGTTGGAAGCTTTCAGCCACGATATGTTCACTTGTTTTAATTTCTCCTTTGCTTTAGGGTTATTGATGTGGCTTAAACATTCCCTACAGTTTTCTTTTATGTACTTTAATACTTCTGTTGTTCCATTTGGTGCTCTCCCAGTATAGTTTTTAGACTGTAAATATTCAACTATTCTTTCAATGTCACTACCTTTGATTTTTCCATCGTCACTGATTATTTTATTATCACACCCAACTAAATCACTCTCTTTTCTCAACAAGGACAGTAGATCGTTTGTCCTTGTTTGTTGGGGGGTTGATGATGATGATGATGGTTGTCTGTAAAATGGTGAATTTTTTGACGTTTCCTCAGTCTCATTATTATACGTGTTATCCAAAGTAGTATGGAAAGAGTCTTCTAAACCATCAAACTTGATATTATTTCCATCTGAACTCTCATTACCTTCCTCTTTTTTTATATCTTGATACATTCGATATCTTGCTTTCAACTCATTTCTTAGACGACTTTCATCTTTTTCTTTCGCCTTTTCTTTCTTCATGTCATCTTGCATCATCAATTGGTTGATGAGTTTAACTTTTACACTATTCGGTAAATCAGAGCTCATAATCGGCTCAAAGTCTGTTTGTTTCCGCTTATTAACATTGTTGTTGTACTGGTCTTCAGGAATCAGTACCATACGAGTTGTTGTATTCATTATTCAATTTGCTTTGAAAGTAAATTTGCGAGAATTGTAATAGTTGGAACAAGTAAACCTTTCAGCAATCCACCTTTCTGAACTAGAATTCTTTTTGCATTTCGACGAGTAATTTTACCACCAAGTCTTCGTATATCTTTTTTGAACCGTTTCACATGAGCTTTTTGTCTCGCTGTCAAATGAATGTGTCCTTTCAATATTTTAGCTGCTATTTCTTTTATAACTTTCAATACGTTACATGGACAAGATGTTAACAATTTTTTACGTTCAATTAGTTTTTTTGCTTTACTTAACTTTTTTAAAGCTGGTAAGACCGCGATCGCTTTTGAAACAGACATTTTTTTAACATAGTAAAATTTATTTATTTCTTATACAATTTAAATCTGATAGGCACAAATTACTTCTTTTTCTCCCAAAACGTCTGTTAACAATCTAACTTCATCGGGTGTATCAGGCTTACAGTCAATGAATAAGTAGGAGAAAGGGCTTCTTGTCGCGTTTTCAAATATCTGTCTAAACTGTGCTGAACGTCCGGGAAACATTTGCTTAGCTAACATTGTTGAAATGGATTTATCTCTTGGGTTTTTAAACAAAACAATATAATGAGAGTTTAAAGATATATTTCTTGACTCACCACCTTTAACAAAAAAGTTTTGTACTAATAAAATTACTGATAGGTTTCTATGATGACTCCCTTTCGTAAAAAGCTGTGATACTATTTTTGAGTTAGACGATTCATGCATCAAGTCATCAATTATTATTAAATGAGGATTTTTACCATCAATCTTATCAAAAAATTGTCTGGTAATCCTTTGATAAACACAACACTTGCCATCTCGTTGAAGATTGGTTGGTACTCTGCATAAAAGTATGTTATCAATGTTGGAACTGGACTGTTTTTTCTCTACAGGGCTATTCAGCTATTTTCGCCGATGTTTTTTGCAATTTTCTCAGCAACTAAGAGTCAAAGAGACTCGAGACTTGAGGAGTATGAGTTTGAGCGATTGTTGTTACAGATCTTGAGATATTACAGTTTAATTGAATAACTGTTGAAAATCTTCTATTCAATTAATTTATCTTTTGATATGACAATTGAGTATCGCTCAAACTCATACCACTCAAGTCTCGAGTCTCTTTGACTCTTAGTTGCTGAGAAAATCGCAAAAAACATCGGCGAAAATAGCTGAATAGCCCTGTAGATCTCTCCTAAATTCCATATTCGTGCAAAATACGTAGTTCAAAATTAGCTCAATTTTAACAAGAGTTATATTTTTATTACTATTTAATAGGTCAAGCATCTTATGATCAAAAATTTATATGGATATATTTTTAGACACAGGCCACATTGTGTATTAGAAATTGTCTGTCAAGAGCTTAGAGTAACCTAAAATGCTGTGCAAACGTGATTGCATTTGGTCGTTGTTGAACTAAATTTGGTC